CAAGAAGCTATTAGTAACAAGTGCCACGCTAGTAGGAGCAAGGGCCTCGCTAGTAGTAACAAGAAGCTACTAGTAACAAGTGCCACGCTACTAGGAGCAAGTGCCTCGCTAGTAGTAACATGAGGCCCTGCCAGGTCTTTGGCAACTCAGCCACCAACCCGTTGAGGGCTCGAGGTGTAGATTGGCCACTTCGCCGCCCACCGGCCTAGCACAAGAGTCGCGGTTGTGTCCTCTTGAGAAGATCTGGTCTTGGCATTGCTTAGGTTGTCTGTCTCAGGTCTGTGGCATTGTGCCTCAGGTTTGGATTTTTGGGTCCTCTTTTGTGATCGTGATTCCCAGTATGTATTCATTTGAGATACTCATGGACTGTCCATATGTTCTTGCCCTGGCCGCCAGGGACAGCAAAGGACTAAGATCTTCGCGGAGCCACTGCGTCTACCAGAGCCGATCAAAGGCAAGTTCTGGCAAGTAGTGAAAATAGTCACAAAGAAAACACACACAGAAGTATAAACTGAACTGAAACACACTGAAACGTCAGCACCTCGCATGGTGAATTATGTGTCAGACTTCGCCACTGTCTCTGAAACATGCGAAAGTGCATCGAAACCCTCGGCCTGCATGGAACCTTCCAACTCCAAGACTGGAGCCTGTGATCTCGCTGAGGCATCCAGGGACGCGGTGGCTCCGTGGCGGACGGTTTCGTGTCAAGAGACGAACAGTTGAGAATGTTTCCTGACAATATGTTTCCTAGCTGCCATAGAATCCAACATCTAGCAATGTAACTCGCTACTGCAGCTCTAACGGGTCCTAAGATCCCTGCCAGCTCGAGTCTGACACAGCACATGTTGGGCAGTGAAGCAGATCACCATTTAACGGGTCCTACGATCCCTGCCAGCTCGAGTCTGACACAGCACATGTTGGGCAGTGAAGCAGATCACTATTCTAAGAGATGTTGCGAGACTCTGAGCAGCTTCCTTGGAGACTCCGGTAAGGAACCTTTAAAAAACACACTAGAGATAAGAGTACAAGAGCACGGATGGTCTGAGTGCCGTCCCTGGAGCTGCACAAGAACTGCAAAAAGGTCTACATGAATGAATAATGAATAATGCTCCTAGTAGCGATGCCAGGAGCCCCTAGTAGCTAGTAGTAAGAATGCTCCTAGTAGTGTGCAGTGGGGTCCAAGCATCTGAAAGGCTCTACTGCACGTCTGCGAACGTGGAGCCGAAGCAATGGCCGTTGGGAATGGGACCAAAAGTGAAAGTGTTCTAGTTAGGAACGGTACACGACTGAGCGTCCCCAGTCGCTTCACGGAGTTACCGTACCACAGCTGTCTTCGTTGGCAGAACTGTGGGGCTCCCTCTGCCACGCGCACACACACAAAAATAGACATACACACTGATTTGCCGAACTGGGGGACAACAAAAACAAAAAGTAGCTATATATATATAAGTAAAATGATTGCAGTTTTGAACATTTAGGGATGGGTCCAAAATGCCAAGCATCATAAGTAATTAGCTTGAACTAACATGCAAACATGAATGGCATGAATCCTCGTTTCATCCTAATGGTTTGGTCTAGAATCTACAGTAGATTGAAAACTTCGCATCAATCATTTCCCACCTTAGATCCTTCTAATCAGCACCTCTTCCTCTCCCCCTGCCCTCAGAACTTCTTCCGTACCCAGTCCTTGGCCTTTGAAGCACCCTTTGGCTTCTCACCCTGAGCCAGAACGATGCCAACACCGGAAGCTAAAAGAATGACGGGATAACCTAAGAGCGATGGCCTCTAACCTAATAGCGATGGCCTCCAACCTAAGAGCGATGGCCTCCAACCTAATAGCGATGGCCTCCAACATAAAGAATGACGGAATAAAGCATATGCAAAGTCACTACGTAGTCAATACATCTTCTTTCAATGTGGCTTTGGGTCTTCAGGATGGTGATCCTTCCTTGCTAGGACACAAAACAAATTGAATCCTGCGGCCTTTTGGTTCTTTTGCACTTGCCGCAGCTTTTGCATGATGATCCGGAGCTGGGCCTGTAACAAAAAGTGCTGATGCAAAGCAGCAACTAGAACTATAGTTATAACTTTTAGATTCATTTTAATTCTATTTATTGTTTCTATTAGCTTCTTGTTACTAGTAGTAAGGCCAGGAGCCCCTAGTAGCGATGCCCTTGTTCCTAGTAGCTTCTTGCTACTTCATAATTGATTAATGAGCTGTCAACTGTTCAAGTTCTTGTTTCCACTGTTATTGTAGCTCCTCTTGACCCGAGGGTCAGACAACTTTCTCTTCGTACATCCTATCTTTGGAAGCCAGTGTCCGCTCCAAATTCACCTGTCATGGGCAACAGCCTAGAAACCACCTCCCCGCTGTCACCAACTATATAGTGAAATGGTGAAGTGGCAAGCACAAAACAAACTAGGGCGTGGGCATTGTCTTTCCGCATTGTTTCCACCACCTTCCGCATTGTTTGCTCGCCAATCCACCAGGTGCACCAATTCCGTCCCCGAGTGTCACTAGAAAACTATGCTTCGCTTCCAAACGCTGCATTGCAAATGTGAAGGTTGTGGGTTGAACACCCTACCAAAGAGAAGATGATAGCGCGAAGAAGAATCCAAAAACCAACAGAAAGGTTGTACCAAAAGGATGAGTTGGTCTTTTCCATACATGGCCCAGATTCCTCTGCTCAGGCGAAACCTCAACATATAGCGCTCCCCCCCGTTCTTTTTACTTTAGACAAGCCCCAAGCATATACATTATTACACAACACACCCAAATATGTTACTGGCTGGGGAAGTTGCTAGTCATGGCTGTGCAAGTTGAGGTGGGAACCATCATCAGCTTCTGCATTCTTTCCATGAGCTTTAAATTCTTTTGCCTCAGAAGCTTTTCAGGAGCTCAAACGCATGTCCTACTTACAAAATGCCTGAGGTTCACACTCAAGCCTATCTCGCATCAACTTTTCCTCAGGTCTTCAGCTTGTGATTGGAGCAGTTGGAACTCAGAATCTGTTACGCTCTCCCTTTGAAGAACCTGAGTCCGTCGTTCAATGCGCCTTGTGAAGCTCATAGTGCGAAACAATCAGAGCCTGCAGCAAATCTGTTGCTTTCAGGCCCCCTGAAATGAAAGCTTTCATTGTCCTGCATGACTCCTGATTGTGGACATGCACCAAAGGTGGCAAGCCATCACAAACTGTTCAATTCCTTCGCAAAGTAACGGTACTCCGGTACGCTTTTCTTGCTGAGCCCCAAACACTATCTTTTGCGGCAGCCTCTGTCCGAAGGGCATCAAGGATGCCATCATCGCCTCTGCTCAATATTCCTCTCCACTTCGGAAAGTTAGCATCGCAGCTTGAACAGAGTTATTACACCGGTGCCGACAATCATTGCTCCGAGAATATCAAAGGACAGGGACTGCAAAATCCAAAAAGTTCTGGCACTAGAGAGCAGGGAACAGGGACCAAAATGGACCAAACAAAAATAAGAGCTGAGGGCGATGAGGTGTGAAATTGAACATACAGTATCATACATAAATACAACAAACATCAAGACATTGGGTGACACCGTCTAAGCATCGATTAAGGATTCGACTCTCTTTGGCACCAGGATTCTGCCTGAAGAGGTGGCCGCGCAATGCGGCGCAGGCAGAAGCCCCTAGTAGCGTCCATGCTCCTAGTAGCGATGCCAGGAGCCCCTAGTAGCTTCTTGTTCCTAGTAGTAAGGCCAGGAGCCCCTAGTAGCGTCCTGGGCGCGCAGGTTGTGGGCGCACACGGATTGTGCGAGTCAGGCCGAGTCGAAAAGCTGAGCATTCTGCTGTTGCATCTGACGATGGTGATTGAGGTCAACCTGGGGAGATCAGCACAAAGAAACATTATAATATATATATATATTAATTTGGTATGACATTAAATGCTTGATTTGTCTTGATATAGTCTTGAATGGGGTTTTGGACTGTAGTTCTAGGACCCTTTCAGCCAGGATGATCCATGCCAGCTTGTTTCATCCACAGCATACCACGCGGTGCGTGATTTGAAGGGGGCCTCTTGGTGCTTCAGCAGCTGGTCCTTTTCCTCCAAATGCTGACGAGCCTTAGCATAGCCCGGAGCCGCCTCCACTCTGGAACGAAGGTAGATGCACTGTTCCAAGGAAGCCCTGCAAGTCTAATTGACCAGGTCTAAGCTTGTTGCCTCAGAGATTTCCTGCTGTAAAGACTTCATGTCTTTCATCATCATCTGCTTCTCCTCAGAGCAATGGAAGATTGCCACTCGGCAAGGCTACAGCTTTCAACGCTGCGTATTGATCAATCGGAGCGGGGAATTATTGAATAGGTATAAATAGTATTATATAAACAATATTAAATAGTAAGAATCAATAAGAATCATGCTGGGCCAAATCTTGATAGATGCTGGCCGCAACTATGACCCTTTTCCCCATTGAAAGTATGGAATATCCCGCATGTCTCCCCCGAACAGAAAAGGATAATGCCCTCCATATCTTCTTTCTCAAAGCCATCCAGCAACCAAACAGACTCAAGGGGCCCTTGTGGGGAAGCTGGCTACTGCGTGGTAATGGCTTGGCACATCGTCCTCCAATAGCTGGTCCACTTTCTGCTGGTGGTACTCGAGGTCCAGCCTTGCTCGGCATTGGATAGCTCTGGACCAGACACAGGTAGAGTGAAGGCGTTGGTATTCATTTGCAGTCATTTCAGCCAACTGGTTTCTGTTCTTCTCTGCTTGTAAAGTCCCACCAAGGTGACCGCTGTAGGTGCCGAATATCACTGACCAGATCAGCAATCTGCCCAGCTTGCTTGGTGTCTTAGTTCGTCAAAGCCACCCAGCGCATTGTTCTTAAACAGACAGAAACGTGGCTGCGGATCAAAACTGCAGTACAAGTACCCTCTTACTCTTACGGCACGGGATTGGTGATGTGATTGTAATGACCTACTCATACTCTAACGGAAGTGTCAGCCTTAGACCCACCTCCAAAGGACAAAGCTAGGGTCTTTGCGGGTATGAATCTAGCATGACTTCACTACCCTCACTGCTACATGTGGTGTTCCACTACAACTCAAAATCTGCTCCAAGTGCCATACTCTCCGCTTGAGCTGCCGAAGTGGCTGCCTCCGCTGCTGCCAACTTCTCTGCCTGGCAAGGATGCTTCCATCTGCAGTCTCAGATATTGATATTGTCTCAGGTTGCTGGGGTTCCAAAACAGGCTGACAAGAGTGCGCCTCTTGAAAAGTGTCCGGGTTCATAACTGTTTCTCCAGTCTACCATACTTGACAAGTGAAGCCCAATACTGCATCAAGTACTGCATGCCACGTCCACAGTTCCGTATTAAGTTGGAAGTTCAAACGTTCCATGCCTCCAGTATCCTCCAGTCCTTCTGGTCAGTGCTTGTTTTACGAAGTGCGCAGGAGTATTCCCATGATTGTCAATTGTGCCGGCGTCACGTTGCCGCCACCATCAGCCTCAGCCTAGTGAGGCTCAAACTTTGAAGCATCAAAAATACACAACATCGAATCTGAGTCCTCAAAAAACTCTTGTAAGATCTTGTAAGGGCTTCTATAGTTCCAGAAAGAAGAGATAGCTTGCAAACATATATACTCAGTGGATCTCAGTGTCACTCCACTCAGTTGCGAGCCTCCAACTGCTCTTTCTCGGCTCTGATGCTGGCAGCCTGGCATGGCTGAAAGCTCGCGCAAACGACCATGAAGGACGCCACACACCACACAGTCCGAACATGTCCGAACGTCGCGACCGTCAAAAAGAAGTCTTCTTCCAACAAGTCAGGAAAGCGCATGCCGAAGAATACGGAACAGCAACAACAACGACTGCCACTATGATCAGATAGAGAAGAAAGTATATAGGGAGAATGACCAGGAGAACAAAAAAGGATCAACAACCTTACCAAACATCGCGATCTGTGCACGATCTAGTATGCAAGACTCCAATTTGCTTCAAAAGAACAAACCTTTTTAATTACATCGTTTTTTCCAATCTTTCGACACAATGAGCCTCTGTCCGGGCCATGGTGAGCTCGGTGTAGAGGTGTGCGAGCCTCAAGCAATGCGAAACATAGCCCTTCCACAAAAACAGTTGCGCTAGTAGCTATCTGAGGGCTATAGACGGAGATTAAGCGGAGTACTGAGTGTTCAGTACCGAGATCTGCTGATATGCAGCTCCCAGCAATGGAGTTTCCTTCGATTCTCAAAAATATCACGGCTGTCAAAACAATGGAATGCAAAAGCTTGAGTCCTCTGAAGCTGTCGCAGAGAAGCCTAGGTTAAGCGGGCTAGGAATCACATCATGGAAGAGACAAGCATAAGAAAGTACAGCACAGATTTGTGTTGGAAGGGTGGAGGAGATCCTTTGTCGTACTGATACCGCAAAGAGCGAGATAGAATGAGATACAGTACCGCATTTGAGGTTGAGCAATACTCAGCAAAACCCATATCACTGCTTGACTATGCAACTGGCTCATTTGCTCGCCATCACCAGGCACCACAGTACTCGCCTCGAAAAGCATCAGCGGACATCAGTAATCAAGTTCCTATGCTTCTGTTGTTGTCAAAGTGATTTGCCTAGATGAGATGGATGCTCTTGTCAGTGCCCAATCGTTTTGGTTCACTATTCAATCTCTTGCGTCCTGCAACTGGGGCCTGGTAGAGATTAAGAGCTTGGGGGCAATTCGCCCTCGGCTCTGCTCCTAGAAACTCATCCTCTGTCTTTGGCAACTGCTGCGTCTGCAAATGCTTGCCTTAGATGACTGACTTATTGACTGTGTCTCGCAGCGGGATCCTGAGCAGCATTGAATAGGTGCGAGTTCTGTCACCTGGAGGGCTAATTGGCAGCATGCCAGCAGTCGAAGATTTCATCCTCATCATCAATAACAAATAATCTCCTTTCACATCATCACATCCGACGATCTTGCTCTAATACTACTGCGACAACCTGCGACAAGTGTACACAAAGCAGTTGCCTTCCGCCACCTCAACTTCACAGTTGAATTTGCTGCGGAGGTGTCGCATTCTTGCATGCGGCGGAGAAAACGAGAAGACCAGGAGCACTCCTGATGGCTTGAGAACTCGGGCAACTTCAGCAATGTACTTGTCCGCATCAGCATCTCGGCCACAGTCACAAATTGAATCCAAGGTGGATTTATCTATGGCACAATCGAAAAAAGAATCCTCAAATCGATGAGCAGAGTCAGAGCCGGAGCTCATGTCGCGCAAATCAGCTTTCACCCAACGCAGCTGTGGCCGCAGCTGTTCGTTTCGTTGCCTCATGACCTCCAAACACACCTCTGACACGTCAACGTTCCAGATTTCCCCAAAGTCTCCTGAATCAAACATCTCTTCAGCCAAACGACTTGTGCCACATCCAAGGTGCACCACGCGGCCTTTCCCAGCAGCTGGTTGAATCCAAGGTTTCAAGGATATGAAACTTCCCAGCCAGTCGTAGGGCTGCTGGTACCAGCTATCCTGGTAACGGCTCAGCCAATACTGCACATCGCCATAGTCCACGTCTTCCGCTTCGTCTGTCAACCACTTGCAAAGAAGCACAGTGCAACATGTACCCGACAATACGACGAAAGTTGTTCTTATCCATTCTGCCCTGGTTGTCATGGTGGAGCCAGCATGAGAAGCAAGAAACCGCCTGCTTACTGGCTGCTCGGTCGACGTGACTGCAGCCCGAGAGCGGCTATTTCTGTTGCCAAAACGGCGACAAATCCTTGCCCACATTGCTGAGAGTCCACAGGAAACAATAGTCTCTGAAGGTTTCTTACAGTACTTCCTTGACTTGGTGTATCCATGTGTATCCCCACTCTTTCCAGAGTTCACCAAGGAGCCAAATGGAGCCAATGGCTGCATTTGCGAGCTGTGCACTCCCGACTAGTCCGACTAACATCCTATTGTCCAGCATGCTCCACCATGTTCTGGCCTGACGAAGGGAAAGCTCGTGCTGCAGACCTGTGGGAAAAGGCGAAGAAGCACGTAGTAACGTAGTAAAGGCCTCTGATACTAGGTTGTAACCCCAAAAAGCGAGGACAAACTGCAAAGAGTATCCAGCTCACAAAACAATGTAACAATCCCTGTGTCTTCTCTGCACCTGAGACTTCTGTCTCCAGCTCTGAGACCTGACAAAACGGCACTGGAGCTAATCCGCATCTCAAAAGCTCAATCAGTTCAACCGATACACCAAAGGGATTTAACACATTTCAACACCATTTGGTGCAATGAATACAACTGCAGTCACTATGTCCAAGCTCACAAGCTCACAATTCTTGCTTGCCTTTGCACGTAGCATCACCACATCGCTGTCACCATCTCCCCTGAGCACCCAGCACTAACTCTCTTTACCTAATTACTATGGCGAGGCTACAAACAATATAGTAAGAATGCATGTAAGAATGCTCCTAGTAGCGATGCCAGGAGCCCCTAGTAGCGTCCTCGCTCCTAGTAGTAAGGCCAGGAGCGCCTAGTAGCTTCTTGTTCCGAATAGCTTCTTGTTATTCAATATTATATAATTCACGTTCAATCCGAGCAATGATTCAACGGCAACATGTCAGATCTCCCACATCTCCCACTCTTTTTTGATCTTTTTTGCTGTTCCTCAGTCGTGACTCTTGCCAGATGCATGATCTCCAGCTGCAGCGTCTCGATCTTCATGGTGCATTTCCAGAGTGCAGCGTTCATTCCCAGATTCCCTGGTGCGGCAGGTGACCCCGCGTTTTTCCCCTCAATCCACGTGGAGTTTTCACTGCGCGTCCGAGAGGGTGCGCTGCGTTGATCACCTCGAGCTCACATCGATTGTATCTTTGCCTCGAAGCTGAGGGATCTTCTGACTGTCCCACAAGGTGAGAAATCTTAGTCAAACGTCGTGAGTCTTCTGTCTTCCTCAGACAATGGTGATACACTGTTTGACCGTTTTAGCATTCAGCCAGGCTACTATCTTGTCCGCATTCGTGATGCCATTGTCTTGTTCGTACTTGGTGATTTCCTCAATCACAAAAGCAACCCGTTCCAGTCGCACGAGCCGTTGTCTCGTCGACTTTCGGCAGCGAGGTGTCCTGCAGGATCTCTTCTGCGAGAGGCTTGCGGGATCCATACATCAGCCTGAACACGCAGGTACTAAAGCATACTGAAAAAATGGGAATTGATGTGTTGGAATTGTATCATGCCTTCACCTACAGCCAGAGATACTAGCCTCACCACTTCGCCGTCCAAGCTTTCAATGTATACATCCCATGGATGCGGATATGCACCTCAAGTGCGTCAATTGGGCGGCATCAAGATCGCAAACAGACTCGCTTGCTGTTCCAGGCACGGAAAATGATGACTGGCCAGTCGCTCAAGAGCCTTAGGCTTCGTCGATCTTGCGGATTTGATTGCTGGCATAGTTAAACGATGGTAAACGGCAGGTGCACTGTGCGTTTCACTCCATCGTGTCGCACATCCCCAATTAGGTGAGTTAGACCTATAGACTATTATAGGACTCCACTAGAACTTTGCGCCCAGCGTTCTCTTGCTTGAAGGGTATCGCTTTGGCCAAGCGACAAAAGCCGAAGATAATAAGTTTCTTCGCTAAATTCTTCACAGAACCTCAGGCGATCTATGCATCAAGGGCTGACAAGTTTTTGTGTCTTTGTACTGTACTGTATACGATGGACGGATGACAGAAGGCCAGTCTTTCTAAATTGTGCTTCCAGGTTTGGAAGAGTTCTGCAACTCAGCAGCTTCCCCAGCACCTCAACATCCTTTCCGAAATTTCCGCCAGATGTCATCTCCTGTCCTCTATTCTCCAGCCTGAAACAGCTTGTCTGCAAATGATGTACTCTGCACACGTTTGCAGCGTCACTCGGCTGAAAAGACCCTGGGCCCTGGTCCACCTGAAAGTTGTGGCTGCATCTTCTGAATTGAGCATCACAACGAGGCGGCTCTTCATGCCGCTCATGAAGGCTTTGGCATCTTGTAAAACGAACTTGCGACCTCCCAACAAGACCACAGCAGCGTCCTCAAGTTCTGTGAAGTTCTGTGGATAATTGTGGAGATGTGTCAGATGTGTATAGGTCCAGACTAAGCACGTGGTGTTAAGGGTTAACCAGCAAATCATGATAGGTTGACATTTGTGTGTCAACCAGGTCAGTGGATTTTGACCCACTTGAGAGCTGCATGTGGACGCTGGAAGCGGACCCAGACATTCGTTCAGCTCAGTCCTCTTTAGGGTCTTCAGTTTCTCGGTAGAGCAAGGTTCCAACATCTCCGGACGTGGTCCCAACATCATCAAATCGAGAGATTCGCCTTGCGCAGAAGACATGTTTTTTCCCATCAAGAGATTCGCCTCCGATCAAGACTTGCACCATTTCCACACATTGAAGCAAACTTAAGAGGCCAGGCACACGTCTCGCAGGGCAGCACCAGCAGGACTTTGAAGCGCTTGTGTAAAGGCCTAAGTAAATCGCTCAAAAGCGTTGCCGTCAATTCGGTTGACCAGGCCCTCATCGCTAGTAGGTTGGAGGCCATCGCTAGTAGGTTGGAGGCCACCGCTAGTAGGGCCATCGCAATTAGGTTGGAGGCCATCGCAGTAGGTTGGAGGCCTTAGTAGCAAGAAGCTAGTAGGTTGGAGGCCATTCTTACTAGGTTGGAGGCCATGAATGTACAGTATATCCAATGCAAATATGTTCGGGTCAGGCGCTCGGGTGCTCTGTTCAGGTTGCCCCCAAGTCCCCGCCGCGCCAGTTTAAGTATTCTTCACGTTGTGGCAGGGGGTTCACAATATGATTCAAGGTACAAGGCCGCCGAGTGTTCATTGCTCACAACAAACTTAGATCTTAGTGTTTCATGTGAAAAGCGAAAAAGGGCAGCTGAGCAGCCAAGAAGCCTTCGCCATTGGCAAAGCAGCACTCAGCAGTGCTTCCATTCCAGATTCTATGACCCGATTGGGTGGACAAACTATGTCGAGTCTCCTCGGTTGTGGATTGACCACTCCACGCTCTTACGGATTAGCTTACTACGCCACCTTCATCCACAATTCCATTGTACCAGCTTTCCGTTCAGTCTAAATACGTCTAAATGAGGGGACCCATGGAGAACGCGACGCCGCTGTGACCCCCGGCAGTGGTCAAATTGTCCCCACCGCCCGTCGCTTCGTCCCAGCATCAGTTGCACCGATTGCCGCGAGAGGCCATCCGCATATGCCTTCATGACCGACTCTGCTGCTTGAAGCACCATGCCCTTGGCCTCACGGCAAGGTCCAAGACATCTTTGGAGAGAGTCTCTGCAGAGTGTTCGATTGTGTTCCCAAGTCAAACAGAGATTCATGAACCGATGGACAAGTTCTGTCAAAGTCTACTTCTGTTCCCAAGTTCCGACGGACTCTCTGTTCCCAAGTCTACTTCTGATCATGTTCCATGAAGATGCACAAGAACCGAACAGGGATTCATCCCACGGACGAGGGGGAGGGACCGAGGGGGGGCTGGCCCCACATGATGATGTGAAACCTTTGCTATATAATCATTACTCAAACCACCCAAATCAAAAGTTAACGGATCCTGTCCCAACACATGTTTGCTTTAAAGCAAAGCAAACTCAGGTTGCTGAGACAACCTTTCGTAATTTTGGATAGGAAGTGTCAGGGTCATCCTCATCCGATGCCAACATGATCAAACGGGGCACTGAGTCAGGCGGAGCTGGCTTCTCTTGGCTGCGTCGAGCGATGCGAGATGACACATGCCAGGGCCGCCAAGAGGCCTAGGCGGAACAACTGATTCGACCCATGGGGTGAACGATGCGTCTTAAATCTCTGGGGATCCTCCAAAACAGTTGAGTAACGTAATTAGAACTACGGAAAATGAAAAGGCTCCCCATGTTGAAGAGAAAAGCCCCAAAAATGCCTATGGTGTCTATGGCACCTATGACAGTGGAACCGTGGAAAACTGAGCTGCTCACCCTTGCTTGCATTCCACACCACGGCGGGCTGAAATTAGGGGCATGTCCTCAGCTTGCCGACATGCCCCCTAAACTCCACGTTGAAAGACAGTATGACTCTCAGTTGCTTTTGACAAGCAACCAGCTAGCAGCAGTGCTAGGAGCAAGAGCTGCACTCGAGCAGCCGTCATGAAGGATTCAAGAATGCTGAAAAGAGATGCAAATGACACTGGAGTCAGAGACAATAGCACATTCTATGGCCCGATCGAATAGTTCTGTACATTGGCAAGACATGGATTTCAAGCAATCAGTATCAACTAGTCATGCTTTTGAAGTCTAGCATATTTGGTTCTGAAAATCCTACCTCTAGAGCCAAGCAGCAAAAGGGAAAACTTTCAAGACTCCATGTGTGTGAGTAGCGTCCTTGCTCCTAGTAACTAGTAGTAAGGCCAGGAGCCCCTAGTAGCGTCCTTGCTCCTAGTAGCGATGCCCTTTGCTCCTAGTAGCGATGCCCTTTGTTCCTAGTAGCGATGAAAACAAGTCAAAAATGATGTCTGAAGAGCGAGCTTGGAATGCCCCAAGCGTCCATTGGCTTCCTCTGCGTGTGGCTGTTCGATGGACACAAATGTGATCAGGTGCTATCTACTGATCAAACACGCTGAAGTGTCCAGTGCCAGAGGGGAAATCATTGGTTGTGCCTAAGGATTCATACAATGCTCCCATGTATTCCCATGTATGTTTGCATCAAAAAACTCAAGGTCTTTTGAATCCAGCAACAAGCTCAGCTCGACTATCCGCGTCCTCAAGCTGTTGGTTTAACGTCTTTACTTGTTGCCGGAGCTCCTGGCACCAAAGATTTCCGCACCAATCTCCACTAATCTCCCCATGTTCAATTTCAGTATGGTGTTTGGGATGTCGTTTGGCCCCCAGCTGCTCAGGTCTTCTTGATTAGCACATCAGCCAGCCTCCGAAGCACTTTGCGCCTGCTTTAGGCGACTATGAAGCTCCTCCTCCTGGTAGTGAAAAATTGGTGATGCGGAAGGTGTGGGATTGTCAAATACTAAATACTGGAAACTCTACAATGTTCCATCATTTTCCTATATATAATATGTGTCCTCTAAAATATGAAGTGCATCTTATAAACTATGCGCTGCTTATACAAATGTGCTCAGTGTTTGTGAGCCATCCCATCTTGCTTTGATTCAGAACCAACGGTCGCACGACCTTCAGAGCAGCGAGCTCCATCTCACCCTGTGGGCAGGAAAGGAAAGAAGTGAAAGCAAAGTCAGGACCATGTTTCATGCTCAGGAAACCATAACTTGTCCAAAGGGGTGATAAATGAATATGCTGGACGCTTAATACCGTATAGCAGGCCCGTCAGTAGTGAGTAGGTCTGCCGTACAAGTCATTGAAGTAATGATAGCTCTGAAAAGCAAGGCAGTGAGTGCAATCAACTCCCGTGGCGCTGGCCATGAACCCTTGACTGGAAGATGGCCTTGGCGGTCTCTAAGTCAGCCTCCAGCTTCGTGGCTTGCTCCTTCACAAACTTCACTCAACCCGGGACTCAACCCAACGTGCCCGTTGAGGGTGAGAAATCGCCTACCAGTTGGCCAATTTACGGGGTTTCGTTCCTGTACAGTGTACTTATGCTTTGCAGTGTATTTCTTTCCTGTACATTGGAATGGCTCTTGCTTTTTGCCCTTTGGAAATTGCCCGGCACACTCCCTGAACACTCCCGGCACCTTGAGCGCAACATTTGCCTGGGCCATTTGTGGCCAGACAAAGGTTGCGATCAGCAAAGAGCAGCAGCTTGAAGAACACAAAAGTTATGAGAATTAGCTCAAGTGACTCTGGTGTCTACGCTGTTGTAGGAGCACTAGTCATGACATCCCAATTGGTACGCCTATATCAGTGTCTATTAAAGTAGGGAGACCTCCCAACACCCTCTGGAAGAAGGAAAATGGGTATACCGTATCCCCTATTAAAATACAAACCCATGTACATGCAGTATATTAAAGGATGGGGAAATTAACCTCAAGATAGGTTATTGAACAAAGCATGCACAGGCGCTGCTTCGCCATGGCCGTCATGGTGCTGAGGTGAGCACAGGTGACTCTCGTATGACAGTCTGGAAAATGACATCAGTCACATCGTGACTCAGCTCCTTCGGAAAGTCGTGCGACATGTGTTGGCTACTATTGCTTCCAGGCGTAGCTACTACAGTACTGCTAACAGCGGCAACGTCCGGAACCAAATGATTAGTGCGAGCGCTTCTTCAAGGAAGCTCCCCCCGGTGTCAGGTGGGGGCAGCTTTCTTGAAGAAGCGTGAGCTATCCTGCATTCTAGGTGATAGCTTACTTAAGCTACTAGCTACCTCTCCCTTACTTAATTAAGTAGGCGCCTACTTAATTAAGTAGGGAGGGGGGGAGCGGGCTAACAAAGAAACGCATCTTTCGGTGAGGAATCACACTTGCCTCAAAATGACTCAATCGACTGTGACGCCGCTTCTCAACACGGTCGGCTTCCCGCTAGCAACGTCAGCTCCTCTGCATTCCGGTCCACTGCCACAGTTTGGTCCGCTTGATCAGGATGAAATGTTCTGATGCCTTCAACTTCAAGCACTTATCGCACTTGCACAATGAGTTGCAGGACTTGTAAGAGTGCGCGCAATCATGTTTCTTATAGCTTCAAGTGAAATCTAAGGAAAAAAATTGCACTTTGTTTGATAGCCAGCAACAGCCAGTGGTTGTGTGGCAAGCTTTCTGCACCAAAGTTGAGGGCCACACCAAGTGACTCCTGCTCTGACGATGGAGTGTCAACAACTGGCACGGTGCAGAATCGCTGGAACAGTCACCAAGTCAACCCTGCAATCGATGTACCATGACTTGGTGGACCATGCCTCTAGCAGTGCCACTGGATGGCGGGTCCATGTCACAGCCGCGTCTTTGCAGCCCTGAAAAAGTGAACCATGCCGATGGCCAAGCTGACGGAATGTCAACTGCTGCAAATGTTCCACCGTTGGATCAAAGAGCTAAGAGCCACACGTAACTATTCCCACCCACTACTTGACATGCTCGGAAGCCACTGGAACTGGAACCAACTGCGGAAACAGCAGGGTATTGACGGTTGCAACAAAGAAAGAAACTGAACCTGCCATGGGTGGATAAATAAAGGTTTCAAATGCGAGCTCATGACATTGGCTCAACCACGTTGGCCGCAAACCACTGACTTCTTTGGCCACAAGATGAGTCGAAGGGGTTTCTCCATGCACCTACTGGAACTGCATGGCAGGCACCCTGTCTAATCCATCTTTCGCTCGGTTTGTTGATTCAAGATGATTCGGTCGAACGGATTCAATGGCTGTTCATGGTTCAGCAAACCGCTGAGCTCTTAAAGCTCACGACTTCACAGGGTCCCACGAGGTCCTGGGGCAGACCTGATCAGCATCCGCGCCCTGCACACTTGGCCGGAAAATGTGGCCTCTCTTGTGGAACCACAATTCTGCGCGATTGCGCAGCAAAAGTCCACTGAGGACCAGGGCTCCACCCAAGCACAAACACAACAATGTTGCGGTGAAGTGCGAGGATTGACCATGAGGTCAAACAGGCCATTAAGCCAAACAGAGCAAGATCCCCAGACAACTGGCGCACTGCCATCACAACCTCGGCGTTTCAACCACAGTGAAAACTTCTGTTCTACCTGCACTCCTGGCTCCCACAAATCTCTGAACACCTGAACACCCATCAAAAAACACTCACGCTGCACCCGGCATTCGCACAATTCTGCAGCTCACGGCTTTGAGTCGCTGTGATCGTTCAGAGTGTCTCCGTTTCTCAGGGAGAGAACCCAATTGAAGATAAAGTCTCATCAGGTGGCCTCAGCTGTCACCAGGTTACGGGATGTTACAGGTTGCTTGTGTCAACTAGAATCAGGAGCTTCCAACAAATCCAACAAATGCAAATCCCTGGGGTGGACCAAGTATACTATTACTAAATTATGCATTATGCACGGCTAACTCACACACAGGTTCTTGGTCAAGAGTGACAGAGAACAACAAAATCTGATTGACAAACTTGTGCTCAACTGCTCAACAGCTGGTGTTCCCCCATCCCCATGCATCCATATCCTTTTGGTTGCCCCTTCTCAGCCGAAAATTGCTGACTCATTGAGAAGATCAAAGTCTGCAAGTCTCTGCAGAGTGACTGCAACCGTGCATTATCACGGCCAGCTTGCGCAACAAGTTTGCGCAGTGGCAACCTGCAAACCTAAAATATCATTCCTCCACCTGGCAAAGTTCATTCCATTGCCCCACCAGCGCCTCTTTGAAAGTTGGCAGCTGTCTGTACCAGAGCTGACTGCCAGCATGCAACCTGCCTTGGACCAAGCCAACCTCCAAGCCTCGTCATTGACGCTCCAGGAAGCCAGGGCATTCCACGTCTGTCCTTCCATTTCCTGCGACCAGATATGGATCAGCCCATCCTCAAAGCAAGCTGCCACCGAACTCGAAGGGATCCCCAGATATGGCCGCCAGGACACATCTCGCACCACCGGGCCCGGACCTTCCACCAGCTCTTGTTGCACGCTCCAAGTTGGCTGCGCGCCGAATGCGCACGGAGCGACGGGCTGCGGGGACCATCCGTCGAGGTGCCTTGGAGGCGGAGCGCGCAGCAGGACCTGCCGCCAGGGTGGCTGGACTGGCCGCGGGCGCCCAACAGAGCGCCACCGAGTGCCCCTATGAACAAAGAAAGAAATCTCTTTACCTTCACTGCCGCCCGCCGCCAAGATCAGGCCATATTCCGCAGGCCAGAGCCACAACTGGCCCACTCACAGTGAGGTGATGAAGCACACACCACCTCAACTCAACAAGCGAAATACGAATGCAGCTCACCGTTTTTGCGTTCAAACCATGATGGGTGCATTGCAGCGCTTAGCCCTTGACTGGTCACTTGGTTCTTCCCGCCAAATAGCTATCCGGCCATCTGCAGCGCCACTTGCCAAACGCACCTGAAATTATGGAAGTTGGCACGCGCGTTCTAAGAAGTGTCATGTTCTTCTGCATCCTGTTCCGGACACTGCGCAGTGATTTATACTTGCAGGCTAACAGGGGGGGCTCGGGAGACCACACCATGCATGTAGGCTAAGACTACGCGTCTTTTAAATGTTTCAACCAACAAATATACAAGCATAGACCCCAAACAGCTTCAAAACGATTCGTTTAGACCAATATTAGTCAAAAATCGATTGCGTGGTTCGCCCTACTTTCACCCCCAGAGCAAACTGCTTCATCAATGAATTTTTGTCGGCATTGACAGCGCTATTTCTTCGGCCACACTCCTCTCCAGCAAGCCGGGCCACAGAGACCAGCCACAGAGTTCAGGGGCGCGGCCAAGACAAGGACAAGAGGAGGACAAGACCCGGACACAGAGCCCGGCCACAGAGCCCAGCCACAGAGTTCAGGGGCGCGGCCAAGACAAGGACAAGAGGAGGACAAGAAGAGGACAAGGCCCAGCCACAGAGCCCAGCACAGAGGACAAGAGGAGGACAAGAGCCCAGTAAGCCGTCAAAAGCACGCGCGCGCCCTGCTCTCTCTCTCTCTCTCTCTCTCTCTCTCTCTCTCTCTCTCTCTCGCGCTCGCTCGCTCGCTCATTCTCTTTAGGTGTTTCTTTCTCTGTCTTTCTCTCTGCGCAGCGCCCTCTGGCCGCGCCTTTCTGGAGCGTGAGCGCGCCACCCATAGCACACGAGCGCGCGCACGCGCGCGCGCGCCCTCCTCTCTTTGTTTGTTTGTTTGTTTGTTTGTTTCTTTCTTTCTTTCTTTCTTTCTGTCTCTCTCTCTCTCTCTCTCTCTACGTTTCTCTTTCTCTGTCTTTCTCTCTGCAGAGCGCGCCCTGAGCGCGCCTTTCTGGAGCGTATTTCAGAGAGCGCGCGAGCGCGCCGTGCATAGCACACGAGCGCGCGCACGCCCTGCTCTCTCTCTCTCTCTCTCTGTCTGTCTGTCTGTCTGTCTGTCTGTCTGTCTGTCTGTCTCTCTCTCTCTCTCTTTTAGTTTCTCTTTCTCTGTCTTTCTCTCTGTAGAGCGCGCCTTTCTCGAGCGTATGTCAGAGCGTGCGCCACAGGGCCCAGCCACAGAGTTGAAAGAGTTCAGGGGCGCGGCCACAGGAGGACAAGAGGAGGAGACAGAGTTGACAGAGTTCAGGGGCGCGGCCAAGAGGAGGACAAGAGGAGGACAACGAGGACAAGAGGAGGACAAGGCCTGGATCATATGATTATCCACCCGCCAGATTCGGACAACCTCAGTTGTGAGTTCTTGCTCTTGGGCGTCTCTCAGGGTTTTATTTACAAAGCAAACAAACACCCGTTAAATAGGAGCACTATTACGGGGGGCCCTTTGAAACATGAAGCCTGTCTCCCCACTGTTTACATCTGTACCATCAACAGCTCACGCAAGATTTTCAAATTGTGTTTTCTTTTGGCCGTATGTATTTCTTCTGCTCCTTTTCTTTAGGCCTTCGACATGTTGTTATTCACTCCATGTTTCTTCCTCCTTACAGTATATTGCAAATATTGCCATCACCCATGCCTTTGGGCGAGCATGTCAACCCTTGTCACGCAAGACACACCATCTGAGGAAGCAGTTGCCAAGCGCAGGCTGTAGTAGTCATACCTCGAAAGGTGTGTTGCAAACATGACCAAATCTCTTACTAGGAGCAAGGACGCTACTAGGAGCTCCTGGCATCGCTACTAGGAGCACGGACGCTACTAGGGGCTCCTGGCCTTACTACTAGGAACAAGAAGCTACTGGGAACAAAGGGCATGGCCAAATCTCTTATTTTATTATACATGTAGCTGATTCACAGTTCGGATAAATGATGCCAGGAGCTTCTTTATCAATATCATTGGACGTAAATGGAAACATGCTTGAATTTGATCTAAGGAGCATAAAGGTATGACACTCACAAGTCGAATGACTCAATCAGTGTCGCGCGCAAACATTCATGCTGGCAAAAGGCTGCGCATCATGTGGCATTTTCGGTTTGTTGTGTATATCTGGAATTCTAGAATGACTATATACCCAACAGCAAGGAACATCCTATATATAAAAACTATTAGGAACAGTGATCGCAAAAATGATCATTAAAATCATGTTGCGACCAAAAAACGTGGTTCTTGCGACCAAACAAAAGCCTATAATCATGGACCCTCTCCTGACAAACGTTTCAATTAATGAAGCGCTACATACGTTTCGATGTTTAATTGAGGAACCACACAATTATGTCTCGCAAGGGTTTCAATGACATGAACTCACTCACAAAAAAAGAAACACAAACGAACAAACATATAAACAAAATACGTGTATAGGTCACATCTGCGTAGAAGAATCTGGCATGGATGAATTTCCCGGTCGCCGCAAATGTCCAAACACCTGTCTCCGTCATGTCTGCGTTGGATATAGCCTGGCAAGTGCGCTCAAGCGGAACGACGCGGGGTGTGCTCGGTGGGATGGAACTATAATGGATGAGCAGGTTGGAACGGTATATACCCTGAAGGGTGGATGGCAAGAAAGATCACCCAAGCCATAGGCATTCTATCCAACCAAACCAATTGCCTGGTTCCATGCAAGTGTTCTATATATATTGCCTCTGTATCCCGGAGCATTGAAGTGAGTGCGTGAAATCAATATCCGCTGTGGCTTTTGATAGACCAGTATCGACTTTTCAATGTTTTGGTTGAACGCTTCGTGCCATTGAAAGCTTCGTGCCATTCCATCGTATGGTTGGATACACAGGTGTGGTTCAAATCATTTGTATGTACAGTATGTATATATAAATATATATAATTATATAATGCATTCGGGCTCCGGATTCGTGGTGTCTTCAGCCCTCTGCATCCCTCAGGTTTGGTTCCTATAGACCAATTGTCGTCAAACCTTATGAACCACACGTTGGAATGACTTTCACAGGGTACTGTAGTCTAGTAGATACATGCGAAACAGGATACCAACTTGTGACTTGTCTGTGAAGCTGCGAGCCAGCACAAGGCGGTGAAACCCCTGCAACATGACATGTCTGGGACTGACAGTGCAACTCCCAGGTCCGGTTTTGCTTAAGGTCAGGTAGCGTCACGTAGGTTTAGGCACTTGAGTCACTGAAGTATTGAGGGCAAACATCAAGGAAAGGGACAAAGGAAAAGAAGGGTCGCTCATAGTTCACATAGTTCACTACTGAACATAGTGTTCTCTGATGTATTGTTTCCCACCAAGAGCAGGGCATTCCACAGTTAGGTGTGCTGTCAAAACCCAAGGTAGTCCGCTGGCACGTCAAGCGGTCGTTGAGATGTAAGATCGGGCGCCGCACCGAAGTGGAGCATCAAGTGGTTTCGGCAGCTTTGCTGGATCAAGCACCTTGCACGCGGCAGGGCGAAGCACGAAAGGAAGTGAGACACGGTGCTTCTGTTGTGGTGTTGGATTCACCTGTATTTTTCTCTGCACATCAACATCTGAGCAATCGATTAAAACAATTTATGAAACAAACGACAACACAGAACCTGGATGGAGATGTTAAAAGGTCAAAAAAAAACATGTTAAATGTCGTTTCGGCACTCTCTGGGCCCGGAACCCCTTCAATAATTTGGGTTGCAGCCTTCAGATCTTTCTGGTCGATCGCCTGGAAGCCAAACTGACGAATCAAAACGGCCTCGTACATGTGAAATATTGTTTGATTCTGCTGCACCGTGATGGCACAAAGCCCTGCAAATACAAGCCCCCGGTCCACACAGACGTCGTTCCCTTCTCGTAATATTTCGAAGTAGCACATTCAGCCGCGAGGAGCAAACTTTTCCACACCCTAAGCCACACAAGGAACCGTCAGCTCAACAGACTGAACGCCTAGAGTTAATGCAAGTAAACAATGCTGGGTTTCTACATGGCCAACATAACTGGACGAACTGCGAAGCAAACTTTTCAGGAGGAAACTGTGCACAAAGCAGCTGGCCTCTTGTGCTCAAACGTCACTTAAAACTGATATCGTCTGTGTCTTCACAAAACTTCACGTGGAAAATCTTCGTCATGCGTTACAATCGTTACAATTTGCTAGTTAGTTGGCTAGCTGTTTTCTTGTACTTATGACGCAACTGCAACTGTAGTAGTAAAGCAGTAACCGATTTTGTAGCCACTGTAATGTAGAATTAACCTATATATATATATGTACAAACTGATGTTCGTCGTCGTTGTGGCAGTGCTAGTGACTGCTAGTGATGGTAGTTGTACTGGTGGTCCCCCTACAAGTTTTGTCAATGTTCCTGGAAGTGCTCCCCTGTTAACTACGAGCAGCTATACACCCCAGAAAAACGGCAAGCTCTCAGCACCAACCACGCGATGAGCATAGCGCTCATGGCAAGGGGCAGAGAAAAGCCGGAGCGGCAGTCAAAGTTTCAGAGAACAACTGCCACATGGACTTTACTGTGAAAGAAAGCGTGGTTGAATGTCCAAACTTACTGACTGAATAAACGCCTTCAATATCGTTCAATTCCGTCTTTCAGAGTTAGCCCTCCCGTGGGACAAGGTGAGGCAGAGTTTTGACTCCAACATCACTATATACTCCCTTACCCCGGGGGGCGCTCAAAAGTGTAACTTACAATTTTGGGTGTCAAAATGCAGGTTTGGGAAAACGGTGACATAGAGGTACAAGATACCTCCAGTCCCACACACCCAGCTGTGAGCAAAACGGTCAAGAGAAACCATTAGTTTATGTAAGTACAAAGTTGAAGCAATAGAACCAACAATGAAATTGCAACCCTCTAAACCGTTGTCTGGCTCGGCTCTGAAAGCCAAGCCTCCGTGGCCTCCAGAGCATACTGGCTGTCCATGTTCATGTTCAGCACTGCCTAGCAAGCAAGCAAAGCATCGCTATGTTGCATGGTGACAGGTTTAACGACCAGATTCCTAGTCCCCATCATGCATCATCTGTGAAAGAGCTGGGCAGCTGGCGCTCTGAAGGAAATTCCAAATGTGTGTCGCATCCGGATTCAGGACCAGTGAGGAACTTGGAGAAGAAACAACCAAACAAATCAGAATTGGATGGCTGCTTCGGTCAATGCTGTTGGATCCAAACAAACGTTAAGCTGAGACTGTCGCAGGTAGAGCCTTGCGGCATCCTTGTGCTTACCTCAGGGACATCATCCCTCTTTGAGCATTCTTGGCAAAGACAGCAACTCAGTCAGTGAAACTAAGGGCTCTTCCAAGGTTCGCGTGCGCAATAGCCATGTTTGACCTTGCCACGTTGGGAGTACATAAGCTTGGGAGACTCCATCATGTGCAGTCAAAAAGGCCGGTCGAAATAAGCCGCTTGGAGTGGCCCATTAAACAACGAGACAAGCTACGTAAGCACTCTGAAAGGCTTCGCCGTCTGTGTGTGTGGCTTGCTTTTAGGACATATGCTCTCTCTGTGGGCAGGACCAACTGCGAGCATAATTTGGCTTCAACTCCAAACCTTGGTGGTAGGCCACCTTAGGATCAAGAAAAGTCCCACAAGTGACATGAATGTTGCGTAGAACTGCCTGGGGCAATCACAACTGCTTGTTCGCTCTTGCCAGAATTTGCTAAAGTTGCTCCAAGCTTGTTCCACACCTTGGTATGCAACGTCAGCAAATCCTTCAAGCAAAACAGGCCAGGATTAGAAGGAGTCATAGAATGATTCTCAACCCCCTATTACTACCCTCTTTGTGCCTCTTGTGCAACTCTCAGGAAACAGCAGTGTGATCATTAGGACGCAATCGACAAGCCCTCGCAAGAGCCTGGCACCGCTGGCTGGGTGCACTCATGTAAAGGCTTCAAAAAGACAATTGACACAACATGACTCATGTCAATTTGCTTGTCAACATTGACTCAAATTGAAAATACATGAAAATACTTTTGCACGAGGGCGGGCCATACGCAGATCACAAAGCCCCTGGCCTGAATCGCTGCGTCGAAGTTTCCTCACGTAGCTGCGAATGCCATGATGACATGACTTCTGAAAGTTGTTGATTGTATGTCAATGCTACAATGCTACCTATTTATCCATTTAATACATTGTGCATTGTAGGACTGTTGATTGAACTCCCTTGCATTTTTTCACTGCAGCCAAGCATCGGTTAATGTTTTCCATCACACCCAAGGCGACAAAAACGTCTGCATCATTAGGACTAGCCTCTGCAGCTCTTTGAAAGAGTTCGGTCACTTGTCGACCTGAGGAATCAAGTCCTATCAGATCTTCACTGCAACTTCTTGGCAAAAGCCAGGTGAGGTATATGCTAAGGCATATGCTAAGGCATGCTGAGGCGCCAACGCCAAGCCTCGTACTCGTATTCCCGAGGAAGTTCAACGCCCTCTAAAAGGGCCTTCCCAACGGCCATCGGAACGTCGTATGTGCTTCGTTTTTCGTATCGGACAAAGAAGAAGCAAGGGGGCCAGGCGCCTGATACTCCTCGTGATTTTCAATCCATGTACGCAGAAAGCGCCTAGGAGCGTTGTTGAAGTTTACAGGACTGATTTGAAGGACTGGTGAAAGACGTTGGACTAGTTGCTTTGCATGTGAAAGACCATGTTCCATGACTCCATTGTTTGTCCTTTCCTGGTGGTTGCGGGGAATGAAGGAGGGAGCCATTGCCTAAAAGCTTATCTGGTCAGTTCTCATCTAGACGGACAATGCAATCCGAGGCCGCTTGCAGTGCCAGAAGCTGATCCAATTCGTTTGTGCAGCTAACACCTCAGTACAGGGGAAAGGCGTGCAGCACTAGTAACAAGGGCATCGCTACTAGTAACAAGGGCATCGCTGCTAGTAACAAGGACGCTACTACTGTATTGAGCGATTTCACTGTGTCAAATCTAAGTTCTTTGCCAAGGGCGAGAAGGCTGTCCAAGTTGTACGGGTCAACCTGCCCAAGTACAGCGGGTCAGTAGCGGAGATTTGTTCCCTTTCAGAGAATCTGCCAGGTGCCTCGTGCCCTTTCCTTAGACATTGAATCGCCTCACAAGCAAACACACAATGAGTTCACTTTTTCACAACTGCAAAGCTTGCAAAGAACCACTTGCATCTAGATCATGTCCCTGGTTCTCACCTCCACATCCTGATCCAACTCTGCATAGAGCTGACCAAGCCTTGGTGTGGGGAGAAGCTATTCTGGAGCAGTCATGAAATCTTCACTGAGGCCCCACAGTCTCCACCCTTCAGAGCTTTCAGGATTGCGCTGGACCTGATTGCAAAATTGTCACAACAGTGAACCGAGCTAGCCGTCATCACAAATGTGCCTCTGCTTCCAAGCAAAGAAGCGCCTCTCTATCTCTTCCTGGCTGATCACGTATTCGCGTGTACAGGTCGAATGCAATACGTCTGAAAGGCTGAATAAGTGCAGTCAACCAATTACCCTGATTATCACAAATTGATGTTTCTTGTACCTGGTCTGGTCTTGTCGTAGCAAACCATCTCTCAGCGCGTAAAGGGCCGCATCATCATAGCGGACCGTGCCTTCTCGGATGAGTCGAATGGCCTCTGCTAAGGGATCGGTGACTTCGCCTCGAGTTGCAACAGTGGTGGCAAGCTGCTGCCCACGGGCCATGAACATGGGTCAATACATCATGTTGCAAACACATTGGACATGGGCCTTACGACCAAAACGGTTGTCAGGATGCTTTGAGGAATTGTCAGGGTATGTTGGAATCCCTGTCTATTGCTAGATCGCTGTGATCCTTGCCCTGTTTTGACTTGTTGGTCGAAACATCTAGAAACTTGGCAGGGTGCCTTCTATTTCGTCACTAAGACTTTGATGCTTGAGTCAAAATATGATCAATGTCATATATACCTCCTGTTTTATCTGCTTTGAACCTCAAACTGCACAGAAGATAGCTGCAGACTAGGCACGAAATGGATTCTCTTCCGCAAACTGGTAATCCCTTGCACGATTGATCGCATCCTGACAACATGGCCAAGTGTTGCCATAGAACTCTGGTCAAAAGTTTTGTAGCGACAGTTCTGCAGAGGCCCTGGCTATGTTCATGTTCATGGGATCGTACCCCTCCAGACCTCAATGGTGGGGACATGGTGTTGTTTGCTATCGCCCTCGTCTACATTGACATTTCAATATTCAATGCAGTGAAGAAACACAACGATCTCCCTCAATCTTTTTGTTTATCTGATAAAGAGGAAGCCAAAGGGAAAATCAACACCCTTGATGACACACATTCTGCAACGAGGCCTTCCATCATTTGTTCCATCATGGCATCAGCCTGGTCAAAGTACTATTCGCAAGATGTTTTTCCCCTGATCTATTCGCAAGAATCGTCGGAGACTCTTGCAGCCCCAGTTCTCCTTGCCTCGGCAGGACCAAAGGCCTCCTACGCAAAGGTTCGGACGTGGCCAGACCGAGCTGTTTCACGGACGCTTGGCATGCGAAAGAAGCCCTTCTACGGGGCGGACGATGGCAACGGTCCTCCAAAGCTTCACGCTGAGCTTGCATGAAGCTGGGACCAAATTCAAAGTCACCTGCATGATTCGCATGATCACATTGATCTGCTAGATCCAAGTTTGACCTCTCTTGCAAATATCACTGGTTTCCACCAGGGATACACCTACTACCCGTGGGCCACGATCCGTCTGGCCTTCAGCGTTGAAGCGCTCGGCATCCGTCTTATTCCAAAGGGACTGAAGGAAGGGTTCCATGCCTTGGATGAGAAGAAGGGACCTCCTTGACTCAATTAATGACTCACCAACGTTGGGTTTTTTTGGTACTCATCTCATATGTTTCATATGAATTATCGTATAAGTTTATATTTAGTTTACTGTCGATTTACTTATATAATCCTTTTATGAGTCACATCATTTCCTCCCAACAGCGGCAGGATGCTGGTGGGGTCCGCGGACTTCTTCCACATGGTTTCCTGGCTGCAAACGGATTCACGAAGAAAGGAGACAACATTGTAGAACGACTATTGTACATGTGTCATACGGCAGGATGCACCATCTGCCCCCCAGACTAGGTACTTTTTGTGGGGGGTGGATAGTACAGCCTGCTACCAAACACAAAGCATTAAACTATAAGTAAGCGCCAGATGGACCAGCTGACTACGATCGGACACTGTTGCTGTGGCCACATCAGTGTCGTACAATGATTCCCAATCCTCAGTGAAACTTGTCTTTGCAGGCGTGTTCTTCACACTGCAAAAACTTGCTGGCAAACCAACATCAGGAATGAGTTAACATGAATTGGCACACAGGGTGTACGCGGATATGTAATATAATCCACCACACCAAGTGCCGACCAAAGCCTACTAGAGGTGAACACAATGATTCACACTAGTGGACATGTTGAAGCACGTGGAACAATGCAACAGTTCAAGCGCCAAAATAAGAAGGTACCTTGAACGGCTGCTTCACAAATTTGGTGCCGGTGATGTCAAACTAAAGGAGTGCAGCTTTTCGCGCCGAGCGAAACGGCTGGATTCAGCACCCATCAAGGAACCGCAACAAAATGCAAAACATTGCAAAACTAAGCTTTCTGCGACTTGCCTCCCCTCTCTATCAATCACTGTGTTCTCCTTGAACTGAAGATCACCCTGCAGTTGCTCATGCCCGAAAGGATGTTACTATTACTATAGTTCTCAGCCAGCTGAACATCGAACAACCCAAGGAACTACTACATGTAAGGCCAAGAAGGTCTGGAGCATTTCATGTGCAGCCTCCCCCTCCCAAAACAGGACCACTACTTCCAGTGCAGCCTTCGTCTACTTGTTGTGCCCACCTTGCTCACTTTATCGATGAAGCTGACAAAGCGCGAATTGGCCAGCTTGGGGTTGCCGCTATTTCTCAGCCTGGGTAGATCATTCAAGTCAAGTCAACCTAGATACCTGCCCCATGGAAGGTGCTCAGACTCTGGCATGTCCACCATTTGGGCGGCCTGTTCTAAATCAGCCTCCTCGACCTAAAAAATAACCGGAGACGGACGAGGTACAGTCAACCCAGAAGCAATGACTGCAACAAAAAAATACATTGCATAAGTGTACACACTGCCTTGGGCGAGTCCTGTGTGATTCCCTCCAACTTTGCCTGGCCAATGTGAGTGTTCTTCTGGAAAGCGGCAAAAAATAAATTGTCAGACCTCCTTTGGAGCAGCATCTGCGGTGATGACAGGTGCAGCTGCCGCCACTGGAGCAGCAGCCATAGGCCCCACAGGCCCCTGAGCACAATCTCACGCGCTTAGCGATGCATGAAGACGCAGTGGATGTTTATTTTTGCTGGTTCTAAGGCTCACGCCCGATGCATGGACATACCCATCATTGGTCCCATCATCGGACCCATCATGGGGCCCATTGGCCCAGACCTTGGAGAGCTAATAGGACTGTCGTTTTTGGGGAGAGGCCCAAGGATGGCCCGCTGGTAGGCACCCCGCATGGCAGTTGGGCCCATGGAGGATGATGCCAGACCTCTACCGTCTCGAAAAAGAACTCAATACTCGCAAGACTCAACCCCTCAATTTCCCAGCTCAAGAATACTAGTGACAAAGGCATCGCTACTAGTAGCAAGGGCATCACTACTAGTAGCAAGAAGCTACTAATAGTAGCGAAGTTAGCTCTTATTTTTATACATTCGTGAAGTTGTAAATGTCAACTGTAATCACGCAAATATGCGCACATACTAGGCGGTTGCCTCATCACAAATCCGTCACAAATCACCTGTGGTATTGACCCCACCTGGCCCAGCAGCCGCCTCACTTAGGAAGAGTTGAACAATCTGCACCCTCCCTTTGCCCATTCTCAGGATCAATTTATGTGACTACTACTCATCATTCATAAGGGTGTTGCAATCACAAGCAGCAAACCTTGTGATCTTTCCAGTCGCATATTCTTTGAGTCTTTGAGAGCATGCTGCGTGTCTGCATCTGCGCTTACTTGTAAGTTGACCCCTGCCCTGTCATCTTGTCTCCCTTTAATTTAAGGAACGTATGTTGAGCACATGCGAAGAAAAGGCCATCAGAACCGCTCGTCAAAACATTCAAGCTGGCGGTAACAACTCTGCAACTATCAGGTCGAGTTGTGTTTGCAACATGCTTAAACTCTTGGATCTGTGTTATAGTTATATATATATTATATATATATGTGTGTGTACACATACATCCTACACAACTTATATATATATATACGTACATACCAGTGGGTCAATCTCATACCTTCTCTCTGCCAGCTCGCCTTTTGCCAAGCAGCCTCCATAGCAGGAGCAGATCCTTGCCTTTGGCATTAATTCCATTTGTCTCGAGGCGTGCTGAATATTGTTGCCATTAGATTAAGTGGAAAGATGCTCAGATATGATTCAGATTCTCTTCACCCTCTGGACCAAGGGACACTTCTTTCCCAACTCAAGAAACCCACCAAATCAGACTGAAAATCACTCAGGCGAGGCCCTGGCGCAGCAAACCTGGACATCGCAAAAAATGTGCTTCAGGAATATCATATCAAGCATGGTCCTTCACTGATCTTGCACTCCCAAAAACCTGTGGAAGCCACAATTTCAGTTGGGAAGGATCAAAACCTGGAGCCACTACACCATGTAGCTTGACCTTCCAAGTAGGTCAACCAAAATATCTGGGGTTTGACTTATTTGGTGATCTCTCGCTTGGCACGATGCAAAGGAAACAAGAAATGCTGCCAAAGAGCTCCATCGCCCAGTCAGGGCCATGTGGCCGTGGGCCATGGGCCATTGCAAAGCCTTGGCCTCCAGCGGGTCCAGCGGCCTAGGCGAACATCCATGGCGACCACGGAAGTTCCGAAAGCAGATCTGTCGAAATGTAGAAGCAAATGTTTGACTGGTGTTTGGGGGGTTGACCCATCGTTATCTCCAACCACAAACTGCAATCACTCTGCAACTGTCTACATGTCCACCTTCATGAGACCAGCAAGCATCTGCAACCACGCTAAAGCCTGAGTCTCCTGCAAATTCCTGCGCCCAGTCGCCTTGCAGCTCAAATTGCAAATGGTGGGAGTCTTAAATCATCAAATATGAGTCATGAGCCTTCTGAGAGGAGTGGATCAGAAAACGGAAAGTGAGTCGCTGCTTGCATTGCTACGACTGTTTGAGAGACACACCCAGTTAAAACGTAATGACGTAATGATCTTCCTGACCAAGACTTGTTTCCTGTATGAGAGTTTCAATCTGGAGAGAGTTTCCTGCATCGAGAGTTTCCTGTATCTTGCTTTAGAGGGTCTAAGACTTGGGTGAGTGTTACACACAACGTAGATTGGTCCCCTCAGTCGCAGGCTGCTAGCGTGCGGCATTTGTACAGGACCGACAGGCGCTGGCCTCAGGATTCACGTCGTCACCAAAAAGAAAATGTCCCAAAAGCTCCAGCTAAGCTGAACTTTAAAACCGAAAGGATGCTTCCACTAATATAGCGCTTCTGCTGACGTGCTGAGGAGGCTCACCCATCGAAGAACCCCGGCCTTAATGATGCCAACACACAAACAATCGGAAAACAAATAGACATGCCATTGGTATGGTTCAACATGCGGCCCTTCTGTTCCAGCCAAACATGTGCATGCCAACACTCAGCACCGTTTCATGCAAAGTAGA